ACAGTTTTATTGAGGTGTAACTGATACACAAATAACTGAATATATTTAATGCATACAATTTGATGAGTTTGGACATATGCATACACCTGTGATACCATCACTACAATTGAGGCAATCAAGACAATAAACATTTCCATCACCTCTACAAGTTTCCTTGTATCCCTGTGCTTCTATATTTTTGGTGGTAAGGACATAAGATCTACACTCCTAACAAATTTTCAAGTGTTTAATATTGCATTGTTAACTATAGGCACTATGTTGTACAGTAGATCTCTAGAACTTATTTATCTATCTTGTGTAATTGAAAATTTCCTCCCATTGAACAACTTCCCATTTCCCCCTCCTCCCCACTCCCTGGCAACCACCATTCTATTTTGCTTTTCTTCTTAAACATAATTATTAAATATGTAATAAAAAATGCTGCCACATATGCTTTGCTCTTATGTAATTTAAAATAAAACAGAATAGTTATGAGCTTACTGGCAACATATTTACATAATCATGTTTACTATTAATATTCTCATTTCCACATGGAATCTGTTTTAAATTTTTTCAGCATGGTGTGAAATAGAATAATGTCATTTGTCATTAGTTAATAGAATAATGTTATTTGTCATTAGCAAAAATATAAATATAAAAACTACATTGCTTAACTTTCTGTTTAAGGAGGAGAAAAAATTTTTAGGACTTTCACAATAGAATATATTCTGTAGTCAATGATCCTGAGCAATTTTCTGTATTTCTCTACCAAATCTTAAATCTATGCAGGAAAAAAGACAGATGTAACAATATTTTAGACCATTTAGAAACCAGATTCCTTTTCAAGCTAATTGAGCCACTGCTTGGTAAAAGATGCTCCTTTACATCTAACAACTACTGGAGGAAGGCAGTACTCAAAATAACATCATCACAGGGGTCCACGTGTCACGTGATTGTGACATGAGCAACCTGAAGAGCATATTTCCCAGCATGTTCCCAACCTTGCAGCTTCCAGATCATTATACCTATACACTTTGAAAATGTGTAAGAATCTAAACTTCAGAATGTTTTAGGAGACTTTCATAGTACTTAAGAGAGAGGCTACACTAATGATACCCTATTGCCCACTGAATCACTTTAATAATGACCTCCAAAGTCATTTCTTTGAGTATTTTTTCACATCACTAAGTCTTCATCTCTTATTTCATTATTCTGGACCTCAAAAGGCTTTTACAAAACTTAAAATGTCATTTGGGAAAATAATATAATGGAGCTAGACTTAGAGTTCTATTTTAAAGCAAACAACAGAAATATATCTATACTATGTATACATTATCATAAGAATCCTTCACTCCGTAAAACTCAAATTACATAGGTCAGAAGCTCTTGCAAATTTAATTAACTGTGAAGTCAAAAGGAAAAAAAAATCCAACAGTATTAATGAGTCTTGAATTCTTTTACTTTCCCTTCATATCTAGGTTTTTCACAGGCATGGTGTGCTGATTTTTCCTACGTTATTAATTTAATGATATCCCCTCCCTCAAAAAAAAAGGTACTGCTAATTACATGAAACTAAAATCCACATTGTTTAGAAAATAACTCTGATGTTAACAATTCTGCAATATGGCAACAGTATCATTAAGTTTAGGAAATTTTATATTAAATTGTTTGATACTGATTTTAGAATTCGCCAAATAACAAAGTTCTGTTTGTGTGTGTGTGTCTGTATGTGTGTGTGAATGTGTGTGTGTTTAGGTAGACCCTAGTGGAATACATGGGGGCAATACTGTAACTTATAACTTTTCTTTATGGAAATTCAAAACACAGCTGGTAATTGAAATAAAAGTTTAAATGGCTAGATTTTCAACCAGTCTTAAAAACTTATTTAAACTATAAGGCAGTTTAACTGTATTTAGGATTTAACTGCACTCAGAATCTTAAGTGCAAATAAGAGAGGGCTATAGAAAGAAAGAGGAAAGTGTCCTCTTCCTCTTCTGACCAAAGATGCAACCTAAGTAAAATCATAAAGGTAAACAGGACACGTAATAGTCCAATTAGGATTCACAGTAAGATGGGGCTGATCTATCTCACTTACACACTACAAGTAAGTGGCCCTGGAAAAGCCACCTAATCTCCCCAATCCTTAGGTTTCTCCTTTGTAAAGTGGTGATATTCATAGTTCCATGAGGCTGTGGAGAAGAACAAAGTGACAATGAATGTAAAGCCCTCAGCACAGTGCCCAGCATAAAACTCAAATTTTAGTTGTTGGTTTTTAGTATTATGGTCACACTGGTCTTAAATATCCTTTCACCTCCCCTCCTGCATCTCTCACCCATTCACACCAAGCCCACAGTGCCTTCCTGTTCCCTAACCTTTGTCCCTCACTAGGATCTGCTCTGGTACACGCTTCAAAATTACTATCGCCCGCTAAGAAACATGCAGGAAAAAAGAATGGAGCTCTTCTGCTGTATATTGTGAAGAATGCAATCTGATTAAACTAATCCATTAGAGTACAAGGGTACTTCAAAAAGTTCGTGGAAAAATATAATTAAATAATATGAATCTTTCCATGAACTTTTAAAAGTACACTTGTGTATAAGAACCTTAATTCTTCTTCAGACATCAGCATATTTACAAAGAACAAGCAATTGAAAAGCAGTGCTTAAAAAAACAAAAACTTCGGGGAAGTTACTTTTATATTGGGAAACTGCCACATAGGCTAATCCTGCTGAGGAGTCGATACCTTCCCCACCCGAACTGGGAAGACTCTCCTAAGATATTTCTACAGCCTGAAGCTCTGATATTTCCCCAAACTCTGATTTCAGAGATTCACTGAAACCTTTTTTCCTTAAAATAAACGAAAACCAAACAAACGAACTTCAGGTATAGCAATAAAAAGTGCTTTGATAACAAAAGTGCTGAGGAGATGAAAAGAACAGAAAAAGATAGAAAAAGAAAGGTAGAAAGGAGAAAAGCAAAGGAAACAGTGGGAAAGAAAGGAAAGAAAGGTGGACAGGAGAATTGAGGAAGAGGCAGTGCCATCATACGCCATGAATGACACAGCTTGTCTCCTTCTCTAAAAGAGAAGAGAATCATCTACATCATGCCTTCAACTCCCCACAGAAGTTAGGAATGAAATGTCACAAGTGGATACTGCATATGTCCATGCCATTACATGGTTGATTTAAGAGGACCTGAGATGTTCCACAAGACTTGGTACCAAAAAAAGTTTCACTCACACCAAGAAAAATTGTTAAGTTTAAAAGTCAGTCTTAATTAGTAAATATTTGCAGGACAGTGAATTTCTTTCCTTTTATTTGGCAACTCCACAAAATATAAAATCATGAATTGACATTTGATCCAATAAGCACATTTTTTAGTTTCACGGATATATTTTCTTTTCTTTTAAGATTTGGAGTACATATTTTCACATTAGTTTTGTTAGTTTCCCTATCAGTGTTACTGATTTTTGGTACCCGAACTACTTTTCTTCCTTTTAATTACTCAATTTGAGGAAGGGAATAAGTACATTTTTGAAATCTCTTTTTAACAAAACATTTTAAAAATTAGTATAGTAAGAAAAATCTATATTTAATTGAAATACAAAAACTGAGACCTACTGGAAAATATGAATCAAAAGTTCTAAGTCTAAATCAGCTGAATACATTATTGGCTCCAAAATCATGGATTAAATAAAAGAAATTATATTTGCATTGATGTGTGAATCTGCATCCATTCTTGGTACCACATAATATATGCAACTGCTCAGCCCTAGCTGTCCTTGCAGCCACATTACCATACTATTCAAATGTATCTATCATTTATATGTAAATAGACAAGATGAATAGCTTCTTCATAAGACAACAATTTTCAAATGGCAAACAGACACAGGCAGACATTAGCAAGATGAAAATGCTGCAAATATTCATTCTTATATTTTTCAAGGAAAAATGGAAACTATCTTAAATTTTTTAAAAAGTAGCGTGGTAATTACAAAATGGGATCTTAATACATTCACAATACCAACAGCTCCTTTCAATAAAAGTCTGCATCGATGTCATTTGTATTTTATAAATTACATGTTCTCAGATCCATCTGTGAAAATTGGGATGTTAATTATCATGGTTCATTTCATGATTCCAGAGTTAAATGCTGAAATGGTGCTATACAAATACCACATGTTTTTCTAAGGGAAATGGAGAAAGATTAATTATGAGTTCAAGTCCAAGTCTTCTAGCAGTAATACTCTCAACACAATAAGATCATTACATTGCGTGCTATGCAAATTGGAAGTTTTAATTAATAGGTGAAATACCAACTGAGGGCGAAAACTTTGAAGTCTAAATTGTTAAGTATCAGGCTTTCCTACACACACACACACACACACACACACAAAAGCATCCTAATAAAAATGCTTTTGAGAAACCAAGTTACAAATCCAAAGAAAAAACTTTTTTTTTTGATCTTGCAGAAAACTGGAGTTTTGTTTATTTATCTTTTCATTTTTATTCATTTTTTAAAAAGTTATCAATATACAATGTAATTGCTTTTTGTGTCCCTTTACCCATTCCTCCTTTTCCTTCCTCCCTCTCCTCCTTCCTCCCCCATCAACATCATGTCTGTTCACTTGTCTTAACAATTTCAAGGAATTGTTGTGATTGTTGTGTCTTCTTTTTTAGAAAAAACATTTTTATTTTCTATGACATTCCCTTGATAGTGATCACCATCATGCTGTTTAATACTATTTAATAAACCAAAAATTACAGTGTATCCCAGTAACAAATAGGTCATAAATATATATGCCAGATAAAAATTCAACTAAACATTTTTTTTTGATTTTTCTTTTAAGATACATATTATTCAAAAAATCTGTTATAGGGCTACTACTTTATGCAAAATTACAAGTCTCATGTACTTGGATAAAATACTCACTTAGGTACAGCAATCTAAAAATAAAACTCTATGTTAACACTGTAAGACTTTCATTTGTATTTTACAAGTCTGAATTCTTTTTTACTTACCACATATTCAAACACAAGTGTCAGCGTCTCCTTGGTATGGATGATGTCATGAAGCAGTACTATGTTGGCATGTTTTAGTCCTTTTAATAGAGAAGCTGTAAAATAATGTGGACAGAGAGACAACTTATCATGAGTAACGATCAACTAATATGTTTCACTATCATTTTGACACATTGTCAAATGAAAGATTGCTATTTTCCCATGTTATAAGCCAATAATTCAGAATCCAGGGTAGAGGAATAAGGTTTTCATGTAGATGTAACTCCCCGCAATTATTTCACTTGTCATTGGATCTAGACAAATCACTTGTCAATCTCTAGTCAGATTCTATCATGGTCAGAGAGCATACTTGGTGGATGTCAATGCTTTTACATTTTTAATGTTTGTTTTATTACCCAGAATATGGTTTATCTTGTTAAATGTTCTAAGTGTATGGAATGTGTATTCTGCTGATGTTGGGTGGAAAGTTCTATAAATGTCAATTAGATGCTATTGTTTGAAGGTATCATCCAGTTCTTTTATATCCTTACTGATTTTCTGAATACTGGTTTTATCAACTACTGAGAGTGAGGTGTTGACACGCTCATCTGTAGTTGTGGATTTGTCAATATCTCATTTGAGTTCTACCAGTTTTTTGCTTAATGTATTTTGTTTTTTTACATTTAGGATTGCTGTCTTCTTTGTGAATTGATCCTTAACCCTTTTATCAATATATAGTGTCCCTCTTTATCCCTTATAATTTTCTTTGCTCTGAAGTCTGCTTTGTCTGATATTAGGATAGTCACCTACTTTTCTTTTGATTAGCATTTACATGGTGTATCTTTTCTCATCCTCTATTCTTTATACCAATATCACTATAGTTGAAGTGAGTTTCTTGCACAAAATATTTAGTTGGCTCCTGTGTTTTTTAATCCATTTTTCTAATCTCTGACTTTTAATTGATGTGCTTAGACCATTTACATTTAATGCAAATGTTAATATGTTAGGTCACTTGTCACTTGAATCTGTTTTTCCCTTGGGCACCTTGAACTTAGACTTCATTTCTGACTTGATTACTTGATTCTGTCTTTTCTTCTATATTTCCCGGGAGTTTGGTTAACTCTCATTATATTTTATTTTATTTTTTGTTTATTTCTCTTCTTAGCTTTTATATTTCCAATTCAAGGTTTTTTCTGTTTGTTTCATAGACGCAAAAGTCTAAATGAGAATATTTAATTCATATTTCAGTGTTGTGTATAGCTTTCTTTAATATCATTGTTGATTTTTTGAAGAGTTTTTATCAGCTAAAATGAACTGATTCATATTTTCTGATTTTTTTATAGCAGGTCTGCATAGCTGTGGGCTACTTTGTTCTATGCCTGTTCGTTTAATGGACTAGGTTCCCAGTTTGGCAGTCCTCTTTTCTGTCAGTTTGCCTTCTTCTATGCAGTTTTTATGGATGGTGCTTGATAGGAGAAAGGGGAAGGGTTTGAGGTGTTCTGTTTCTTTTTCATTTTGATAGAAACCTTAATTTCCCCCGCTTCCTTCCTTGTTTATTTTCACTATCATGTCTTCAAAGGGTACCACCATATATATATATA